GCACCATGTCTATAAAAAAAATAAAAAGATATATTTTTAGATGATATTTTTTAGTGTAAAACATGAAAATTTTGTTTTTCATATTTCAGTGTGAGAAATGGAGACATTATAGATGAAAGAATTGCTTGTAACAATATATGATGCAATGTTTGGGATCTGTATCAGCCAAATTTTTATTGTCACTGACAAGAAAATGTCAGGTTTTTTTGGGTTTTTTTAGGCCATTTGTTAGAGGGAAAAAGTTTTTTTTTTTTTTTCAACCAGGAAATTTTACATTCTTACTACTTGCTGATTAGTCAATTTATGGACCAATGAAAAGACCCTGCCACAGCCTAGTTCTTTTAGTTTTTTCTTGCAGGACATGTGATTGTGAACTGATCCCACCAAATATATTGTATTACAGAAATATGGTATATTTCCCACAACCTGTGTGGCTTTTTGTTAGTTTTTTTTCTTCATAATCCTGAACCTTAAATTACTCTCCTTTTTTTCTACACCGACATTGTTACAAGTAAAGCAAAGGAACATATGAATTTTTGTTTGTTCTAGCAAAACTAACTTTGTATATGCAAATTTTATTATGCAAACAAAAACAGCAAAAATACTATTTCCTGAGAGAAACGCAAATAACTGTGGATTGTTTCATTCAATGCAATATTAATAATGAAGAAAATTGTTTTAAATGAGTGCACTTGGAGAAGAGCTATATAAATCTAAATGATATAAAACATCCTTATTATTTGGAATCTAAAAGGATCACTTCTCTTGGAATTTATGTATTTTCTGTTCTATAAAAAGTTATTTGCAAAATTAGATAATTAGTTTTAACCTGTGAAAATTTCACAGTTTTCAAATTTTAAATTTCTGATGAATCTCAATTATCAGTTAATGATTGAATAAGCTCATAGTGAGTTCTAAGAAAATAAAATATCTGTAGAAATTCCTGTATCACATTATTAAATATTTGACCTTAACAACTTTAACATCAATTGCAATAACAATCATAAATATGAATACTGGTCGTTATTTTAAGAAGTAAAGAGGTACAAATGAAATGATTTTCCATTTCACTGTAACAACCTGTAAGCAATTTTATCTTTCTTTCAATATTCTCACTGAAACTAAGTAGCATTTTAGATGTCTTTTGTAATTTCACACAACCAAAACAAAATAGTCTCTTATTATTAGATATTAGCAGGGTATAACAGTCATGCAAACTAATAAAAGGAAGGACAAGCACAATTATATTATAAAATTTTTCATTTTTTTCTTTAAATTTTGAATCACTTTAACATCCTCCAAGAGTGGCCATTTAAACCTCTTCCTCATCAAGTTCTTCTAAAATAGACCAAGGAGGATGATGTAAACCATGATAAGGGAACTAGAAAAGATATAAGAATTAATTTATTTTATTAATAAAAATTGAAGAAGATATTGTCAGATCAGAACAAAAATAGAGTTTTTTGGGGTATTTTAATCATTTCACCCCAAGCAAGGCAATAAAACCACTAAGATGCAAGGGGTTACTGAGTGTTAAAGAGTATGAGAAAAATACTTTTAAGGAAAGAGAATAATAAAAGAACAAGAATTAAGAAGACAGAAAATAATAATTGACATTACACTTAAATTTTAGAAGTTAAAAGTTGACTGGGAAGCAAGAAGCCAGAAGAGAGTTTCACAGGCAAGAAGTGCAAGAAAAGAAATTGTTAGCATTGAACTTACTGTTACAACTAGCCATTTCAACTGTAAAATGATGAAACCTTGCTTCCAATCTAGTACTGTACTTAAATCCATAAAGTCTAGGTACCATCGAGGAAAGTTCATAACAATTACCATGAAAATATTTATAGAAAAGGCACAGGGAAGCTACATTACAGCATTGGGAAAGTGACTAATAACATTACAGTTTCTTTAGATTTTATCAAGAATCTCTAACTAAATAGGAAGAAGCACCAGACAAGATATAGCAACAATATTCAAATTAAGGACAAATGGTTGACTAAAGATATATTCTGATGAGAAAAATTGTCTAGCATTATACAGGGAACCAACTTTCCTAGCAGCTGACCTAGCAATTGATTCAATATAATCTTTCCACTTCATATCAGTGGAAATCATTAGTATGAGAAGGCACAATGAATCACTCTCCTGGAGGTCAGCATCAGCCATGCTGATGGAAGGTAAAAATGGGTTATCTCAGAGAATTTAAAATGAGCAGTTTCATTTTGGAGACATTAAAATGTTAATGACATTCCTTGCCCCAGTTTATAACAGAATGTAGATCAGTTTTTAGATCAACTACCAATTTGATCTTATTCAACCACTCAGACTTACTATTAAGACAGGAATAAATAGTTGTGTCATCAGTATAGATACTGAGTTGAGAACTGTTGTCACCAGGAAGGTTGTTGATGAAAATTAGGCAGTTAATATCTGGGCTGGAGTTGCTCAGTCCTCATTCCAGTTTTAACAGAGTTCAAAAGTATTTATGTGACCTTGTGGGTGATGATTTATTTTCAGCCCTAGCCCCTTAATCATAGATGAAACATTGCAAGTTTATTACTACTATATTGATATTTCTATAGCAAATTTTCAAACGAGCAACTATCCTTCATTCCACTGGTTCATTGGAGGTTTTGAGGAGCATAGAACCACTTGCTATTGCTATTGTTTCCAGGTCCACCCTGACCCCTGGGGTGGTAGAACCTGTAAGGGTCCCAACTAAGAGCAAATAGTGAACACCTAAACTGAAACAATGAATGTATAAAAATACATTTTTATAGAAAAATTACCAAGAATACATTTTATAGTAGAATTACCAACAAGATATTTTATAGCAAAATTACTATTACATTTTATCTGTAGTTGAAAGCATACAATTGCATTCAAAATATTTAGATTTTGGTATTAAATAACCCATAGGAGTTGATATGCTGCTAAGCAAAATCAACCTTGTCTGATTCATACATGACTTAACAGCCTGTGTATGCACTACAATTTCTGGGTTTATTTCATTCACTGAATGTTTTAGCCTTGCATTGAGGTTTGATGCCCTGAAATTTTTGAGGGATTGTTTTCAATATCCTCTGCACTAAAAGGAATCACTTTAGCATTTTCTTTCTCCTGACACTTTTGCAGGGACAATGTTCAACTCATCTTTTATTTTAAACTGGGATCTTTGTTTACTAACCAGTTTTTAAATGCAACAAGTTTCTCATGTGAACCACTTGAGTTATTACAAGGTGACCAGTGGCCAGGTACAAATCAGGGGTTTTGTAAGTTTTTCCCAAAATTCAAGGACATTTGAGATGTTGATCATAGTGTTCATAAAATAACTTGTGGCTTTATTATTGTGTGTTAGGAAATGGTAGACATGAAGTGAGGCGGTCTCTACTAATTGGGAATGAGATTATTCAGAGGAAGGAGGTACTTTTGGTTCAGATTCAGTAGAAAGGGTTGTAGGTGTCAAGCTGGAATTTTAGCCAAAATCCAAAAGTAGTAAGGTTCTTTTGGAAATGCTAAATTTCCTGGTAAAAAATGATTTTTCATTCAACATTTCTATTGACTAATCAGATGCAGTCTATATTAGTGACTTTTACCATGTCCCCGTCACCTTACTCATAGAATTTCCCAAAACCAGTTTTTTGTCTTTTCATTTCTTTTTTTCTTGTTCTTATCTTGCTAATGTTTTCAGTTTCTTCTTTGATTATTCTTCTGTAGTCTTCATTTTTTTTTCCAGTTTTCCAAATTTGTGTTCCAATCACTCAATAACTTGTTTCTTTTTTGAGATTATATCTTTCTTAAAATCTATAGCAATTTTTATACATCTGAAATTTATGTGATTTATTTATCAAGTAAATATATAAGTAGATTCTGAAAATTGTACCAAGAATAAATGGGTTTGGCAACAGGAGTAGATAAGCTTACCTATTATCTGGGCACTTTTACTGTGGATGATGTAGTGATTAAAGCAGAGATAAAAGATTCTATGAACACAAAAGGGATCTTTTACAAAACAACACATTAAATGCATTAGTTGCTCACTGTAACAAGACTGACCACAATTAAAAGAGAAAACAATTCACTAAGACGAAAATGTTTAGAAAGTACTTTAATCGCTAGATCATCCACAGTAAATTCTTACACCTTTCTTGGCAGATCTTCTATTATCACAATGTGGGATATTTAATAAAAAAAAATGATGGAAACACAAACAAAATGAAACAAAATCTAAATGAAATCAGTGAGATTATATACGCAAAACACATAAAAAAAACAAAAAAAAACTATCTTTAAATTTAAAATTTCCATCGTCACTCATTTGTGTACATGTGTATTTGCATCAATGTAAACATAAACTTAATCTGACAAAGTCCTAAAGGACAAAACACATCACATGAAAACTTAGTGGTAAATTAATGCTAAAAATTAAATTATAATTTAGTTATTCAGATAAGTTCAAACTATAACAAGTTTGAATTCTAGTTGAGTTCATTACGTGCTAAAAACTCTTGAAAAAGGTATGAATCCAACTCTTAATAATAATAATAAACCATCTTTATTTAATATCAGATTTTTTTAAAAATATATACACAGACTTTAAATGAGAGCAGGGATTTCCTATAAGTTACTCTTTTAGTAGGACAGGGTTAGGGTTCTATTGCTCTTGTTGGCAACCAGTCTAAGAGAAGGAGAACACTTAATTAAAAAATGTCCCTTGCAAAGCACATATTAGGCCGCTAAGGAAAGGATTGTTCACATTGACTTGATGATTCTGACCATGGTTGACTCCTTTTTATAAGAAATTATGTGAATATAGCAAAAATTTCTTCTCATTTTTTTCTTTTCTTTGGGATCAGAGTTTATTTGTTTGTTTTTATTTAAAGGAACATGTAAATAGTAACACTAAAACATACAATTAAATTACCTAAAGTGTATCTTAGCTTATTATTATTATTATAATGTACTATTTTTAAAATTCTTTCTTTTTTTTCTTTCAGTTAAGAGGCCCACAACTGTTTTCTTCATAGACAAGAAGATCTGGTTCTTTCTGTAATAGTTTGGCAAGTCTATGGTCTTAAGTTTTGAAAATCACATCTTCAACCTCCTTAATAAAGAAAGCAAAAGGCAAATCTAGTAAAACACAATGATCACTGTCAACATGGAGGCTGGAATTTTAATTAGTTCCTAGAATCAGCATCTGAGCTGCTTGCCTTCTGTCTGATTTATCTGCCAGGTCAAAGATGTTTTATACTAACTCCACCATTTTTTCAGGGTCAGTCATCAACACACCCTGTATTTTCTTATTGTTACTCTACTGATGACAGCCATGTTTCTGAATCTGTGTTGGTGCTTTACGTCCAGTATCAAGATGCTCCCCAAATTCATACATTGCAGTAAAATCGACAAGCGAACCCAAGGGGTTATACACTTTGAAAGATTTGAACCACACATTCCGGCTGCCACCTTTATAGTGAAGCAGTATTGTGGCCTCTTGTCCTATCTCCTTTTATCGATTGGGCCACTTGCAAAACACTGCCTACAGTCTGGCCGTCCCTTGTGTCCTTCTACATCTTTGTCACACCATTCGGAACCTGTCCAGTGCTGACAAAAGCACATTATGGAATCCTCAAATTTGACTGTTGACGACAGTGTCCAGATTGATCAGAACTCATCTCCATCATCTGTATCACCTCCTGCTCCTCCTTCAACCATTGCTAAGCAACTGACAGAGACATCTGAAAATCCTTTGGCTTTGTCAGATAGTGTGCAGGAATACACCTGCCAGTTCTGTCCACGAACATTTAGCCAGTTGGGCCACCTGACCTACCATCTGAGGACTCACACAGGCCACCGGCCATACCAGTGCCGGACGTGCGACAAGGCTTTTTTTAAAATGTCCGATCTTAGCCGCCACATGCGCACACACACTGGCGAGAGGCCGTTTTCCTGCAAGTGGTGTGATCGCCGCTTCAGTCAGAAGAGCAACCTCATGAGTCATTTGCGAACGCATGGCATTGAGAGTGGCAACAGTGTATTGGGCGGGTCCCATCGCTGTCAGCTGTGCAGTAAGACATTTTCTAAAGCGCAGGCCCTCAGTTGTCACATGAGTTCTGTGCACGGCAGTAGTGCCGGTGGGAGAGCTGGCGGTAGTAACAGTGCCAAACGGGGTCGACATGAATGTAGCATTTGCAGTAAGACATTTGTGAGTGGGGTCATGCTCACCATTCACGTGCGCATGCACACAGGTGAACGACCCTATGGATGCAGTTTCTGTGAGAAACGGTTTGCCACATCATCTGACCTCAACCGCCACACCCGCATCCATACTGGAGAGAAACCCTTCCAGTGCCGTTTCTGCGGTAAAAGGTTTACCCAGAACTCTAATCTGAAGGTCCACCTGCGCACCCATAGTCGTGACTCACAGCACCAGTGCCACCTGTGTAGTGCTAGCTTCACAACTCGGACAGCTCTAACGCAGCATAGCAGAACCCATAACCAAAGTAACAATGGCAGGGACCACATAATTAATAATGCTGCTCGAGGTACCAGATCAGCTAGTACTGAAGAACAAGTGCATATTTCCTTACCCAAAGATGGTTCTAATCTGAAACCAGTAAAAAACTCTTCCGCTGAGGACTTCTATCCAGCTGACGATATAACGTATACTCAGCCAGACTGGGAAACTAAACGACTGATATCTTCCTTGATGTCCGGCATGATCCTCCCCACTGAACTTTCTGCTGTTTTGCCCAAAGATGACTTGACTGCAGCTCTTACTGCAGTGTCTTCTGCCGGAGACACAAGGGACAGTTTCACTATCAAGGGCCAAAACCCGCTGATGTGCAGCCTCTGTTCAAAACAGTTCTTGGAAGTCTCTAGTCTTGTGCAACACTTAAAAATTGAGCATGGGCTGAACGACAGCAGTGCCCCAGATGCACCACTTCCGCTGGTGGTTAACAAAAATGCAACAGATTCTACTGCTAAATCAATGCCAGGCAAATCTGAACCGCTCAGTGAAGAGGAAAATGAAAATTTCACTGTTAAGACAGTCCTGCTCGATTTCAGTGAGAAAGCAATAACTGAAAATCCCCAAAGAGGCACAACAACCACTGCTGCTGCTACCATACCAAAAAATACTTATTTTGGGTGTAAAGAAGGCCCAGCTAACATATCCCCATGTGAAAACAACAGAGCATCATCTCGGGAAGACAATATGCACACATTGCTTTTTGATGTTAGTCCAAAACCAAGCTCCGCAACAGGATCAGTCGAAATGTCAGATGTGAAACCAGATATTTCTACCCTGAAGAATATGTTGTCACAGGGTTTACGTCCAAAGAACGAGACAGACGAAGCAGAAGAGAGCAACGAGGCCCAGACGACAAACAGCACCATAAACAGCAGTGCGACCCTGACACCCTTTAAGATAACAGGAAATTCCCTTATGGACAAAAATGCTGAAGCTTCTTGCATACATGAGATTCCCACCTGTTTGGTAACCAGTGAGGGCATGTTGGAAGACTGGGAACAAAAAGAAAACCCAAACAGTACTGTGAATGTTTCTTCCCACAGACCTTTACCTCTATATATTAGCAACAATAATGATGCTAGTGTTGGAAAAGAAACCATCACCAGCTGTTCTGCACTTCTGTCGTCACCATTTGAAGCTGCCCAAAGTGGCCAGAATATTCCTCCTGATAGCAACCCGTTGTCTGCAAATGGGATATCTTGTGCCCAAATAAGTGATGTTCATGGTCTGGCCAGTTTTGGAGATAGCTTTGGGGTCAGCAATGAGCAATCTTATCTATGTGATGAGTTTGTTGATATTAGTACTCTGAATAGCACTTACTCTAATGAGAAGGCTAGCAGAGAGCCAGAAATTACCTGTATTGAACTGTCTTCCTCATCTTCATCATCATCATCATCATCTCCTCCACCACTACCATCTCAGAATCATATCATAAACGTTGGAATTGAAACCACATCATCTCGACTCCAGACACACTCAGCCTCATCTAATACTAACCCTTCTCAGTCTAAACCATCTGGAGATGCAAATCCGACCCAAATAGACATGCTTTCCATACCCTCCACGTCTCAGCCCGTTTCCTTGACAACAGAGATTCAGCAGCCAAGTGGTCCTTGTAAGATTGAAAATGTCGATTCAGTCAGTCCAAGTCAGGCTGCTGAAGAAGTTGCTGTCAAAGAAGATAGCGAAATTACTGTCTTGGCTGGCCAAGACAGACAGCAATATGTCTGTGTGCACTGTGGTAAGGCATTCCATCAGGCAAACCACTTGACTTACCACATCAGGACACACACGGGCGAACGACCCTACAAATGCGAGCACTGTGGGAAGGCCTTTGCCAAGCCGTCCGACCTGAACCGTCACACCCGCATACACACGGGCGAGAAGCCATTTCAGTGCGACTTCTGCGCCAAGTGCTTCACACAGAGCTCCAACCTTGTGTCACATCTACGCACGCATGCAACGTCGCAGAAACCGTTTCGGTGCAGTCATTGCAACAAGTCATTTGCAGACTTTGCTCAGTTAAGCAAACATCTCGCCTGTCACACGGTGAAGAACTACAAGTGCAAGCAGTGTCCCCGTGCGTTTCCCAGCATGCATCTACTGTCCAAACATGCAGCCCATGCACATCCACATACCCAAGTTGCAGCCCTGGGAGGTAGGGTAAGTGTTGGTCGGACAGGGCCTAAATCCAGACGGCCCCATTCATGCACTGCTTGCGGAAAACAGTTCCTAACGTCTTCTGATCTGAAGCGTCACATTAGGATTCACACAGGGGAGAAGCCATTTGCCTGTGATTACTGTGATAAAAGGTTCAACCAGAGTTCGAATCTTATTTCCCATGTTAAGACTCATTCTGGTGTTAAACCCTACAAATGTGACTTCTGCACTCGAGAATTTTTCTCCACAGCTATGCTCAACCGCCATCGTCGGGTGCACACTGGGGAAAAACCTTATCGGTGCAACATGTGTCACATGTGCTTCTCCCGTGCCAACTTCCTTAAATACCACATGGCTACTCACACTGAGGCTCAGGCCAATATACACAACGTCCAGCCATTAACTAGTAACCAGAGCAATGTTGAAACCGCCCAGGAAAAAATGTCGTTGACTGTAGAAAAAGTACATACTGTTGAAGTTCATGATAATGATAGCCAGGCTTTATGCACCATTCTAGATGATAACTCTACTCAGTGTTCAAATAAAGATATCTTTAATGATAAATCTTCTGGAGGAGAGGAACAACAACATAACTATGAAGACATCTCTGATGACAAAGGTCAAGGGGCAATACACATGGACCTTGGTACTTACGTGAGTAACGATGGTAATATGTACTTAAAATGTGTCTCTGGAAGATCAACCTTCGGTGAGAACTTAATAACGCCACCCACAATGGCAGAAGCCACTGCACATTTTGCTGAAATGTTGGAGCCGCCCAAGGAATCTACAGCAACATCTTCGAATGTATTTCAGTGTCCATTCTGTTCCCAATCCTTCCAGCAATCTGGCCATGTTGTAAAACATATAATGAGCCACAAGGAGCAAAAGCACCACAGCTGTAAGATTTGCCAGCACGCCTTCTTTTCCCGATCCAGCCTCATATTGCATTACAGAAATCACCAGATGCAGAAGCCATTTCGTTGTGGGTATTGTACTCACCAATTTGCACAGAATGCTCAGCTGCTGCTTCATGTGAAACGACACCTCCGGCAAATGCTGGATACAACATATGAGTGCAATAAATGTGATTGGCATGGAACTAGTCTTGCCCAGGCTGTATGTCATAAGCGTTCCAATCCAGGGCTTCCGTCTCACACGTTCAGCTTTCACTATGGGCCACACAAGAAACTGAGTTATCAAAAAAGTATCCGTTGCAGAATTCGACGCAACAAAGGCCGTAGCTTCTATAAAACATGGGGTAGCATTTATCGTCCATTGTCTAAACATCGGCCCACAGAACGGTCAAAGTCTTGCCGGAAACTGTTCCAGTGTGGGGTGTGTAAGCAGAAATTTGTACAACTGTCCAGTTTGGGCCAACATGTAGGTGTCCATTTAGGCAGTCAGTCTAGGAGTATAGGTGCAGATGCAAAAAAAGCATTGACTTTGGATAAATGTGTAGTTGATTCTTGGCAGGAAACAGATTCCAAAGAAAAAAACAATAATAGTAATAATATGAGGGAAGATGTGAGTGATAAAAATAATGATTCTGCATCTGAAATTGTGCAACAAAATAAGATTTTAGTCCAACCGCTAAAGGCCAAAGAGACAAGTGTATTGGTAGCTGTTAAGGCTGCTGAATATAAATCAGCCATAGGCAGTGGAAGTGACATTGAATCATCTCGTCTTTGGTTATCTACGAAAAATGCTTATTTTGATACAGCAAAAGAGGTTACATCAAGGCCATTTGAGAATTTAGTCAATGAGGGCAAAGTGCAGATAGATGTCAAGGAAGAAGAGAAAGGCAGGAAATCGAACCAAGATGGAAACAAAGAAACAGTAACCAAGGTAAAAGCTACAATTGACAGCCAGCACAATGCTCAACATGTTGAGATCATTCTTGATGACGATGATGATGATGATGATGATGATGATGACAACAACAACAATGACAATGACACCGAAACTGATTCAACTGAGAGAACTGCAAATTCCTTAGGGTCAACTGTTATTGTTTCTAAAAGGAAAGTGAAAATCGAAAAAAAAATAACTGTGGCTAAAGTAACTGCCCACCAGTCAAGTGGTACAGAACCCAAAAAACAACACAAGTGTGAGATTTGCGGGCGAACATTTTTACAGGCTTGTCATCTGACTTATCATATAAGGACGCACACTGGCGAGAGACCATACGGGTGCAGGCATTGCGGGAAGGCATTTTTCACCTCGTCCGACCTCAAGCGCCACACTCGGGTGCACACGGGGGAAAAACCTTTTAAATGCAACCACTGCCGCAAACGTTTCACCCAACGTTCCAACTTGCTTATCCACATGAGGTCCCATACTGGCGACCGGCCCTACCGATGCTTCACCTGTGGGAAACGCTTCTCCACATCTTCTATGCTAGCACGTCATCAGCAAACACACACCAATCCCAGCACAGAGATCCCAACACCTTTCTCTTGTTCTGAATGCAGCTGCAAGTTTGATACTTATCATGACTTGAATTGTCACCAGCAGATCTCGCATTCCGTCTTCTCAAAACAGCCTGAAGAGACAGCCCGAGGGAGTAGTGAGAGTAACGACCATAAAATGCATCGGAAATCCGTGGCTGCAGATAAACGTGTGCCTGCTTGGTTGACTGTTAAATCCTCTGCACCTTTTACCCATGCATCATCAACTATATCCTCTTATCTCTCTGCAAGTCATGTATGCGCTGTCTGTACACAATCATTTCCTAGCAACAGCCTGCTTGTACAGCATGTATGCAGCCAACATTCTGATGCAGAAGAAGATATTAAATGGACCCAGTTAGGGGAACAGGCTTACCCTGCCAGCAATAATCCAGAGGATCAAGTAGATGTTCCCACAACAACCAGTAGACAGATATTAAAATGTGAAGACAGTGTTTTTCTTATTCAGAATAGTAGTGACAGGGTGGATATGTCCCTGGACGCAGCCAAAAAGATTCCACACAGCTCTGTCATGCCACTAGTTTGTCCAGTATCTCTTGATCTGCCTAAGGTCCCACAGCTTAGTTCTAAACAGAAGAAGGATGGAAGTTCCAAAAATGACAAGCTGCTTGTTGCCAGTGGTAAAAACAAAAAGCAAGCAACTGGTGCCGAGGAAGAGAACACAGACATTGTGCTGGTAGGAGACTTTCCATCTGGGAAGAAAGCACCATCAAAGGTGTTTGCGTCTTTTGTTCGTCGAAAAAAACCCAACGAGAAGTGTGTCAACCAATGTGAGATCTGTCTGCGTACCTTCACTCAATCATCTCATCTACGCTACCACCTGCGTACCCATACTGGCGAGCGCCCTTACCACTGTGATTACTGCGATAAAGCATTCTTCACATCGTCCGACCGTAACAGGCACACACGAGTGCATACAGGTGAAAAACCATATGGCTGTGGCTTGTGTCAACGCACATTTTCACAGAAATCAAATCTTATGGGGCACCTGAAAACGCATACTCGTGGTGGGCTCACCTTGGCCAGTTCTTGCATTCTGGCATTGTCAAAGACCCAAAGGCGCAATAGAGCATCGGTTGCAGCCACAATACAGAATAAAAAAAATTCAAAAAGTTCATCTGAAAGTGACCTCATATCATCAGGTAGGGCCAGTCGTCCAGAATTGTTAAACTCAAGCTGGAATGTTCCAAGTAAAACCGTTTCCGTATTCAGTTCTGGTTCTTCATTGACAACTGAAAAGTCAGAGGCAACAGCTGTAAGCATAGATGCTTCCACCAGTGGTGACCAATCCGAGCCTGCTGACCTCTCATCTCCGAGAGGAGCTGCTTCATCATCGAGTTCTTTCGTGTCTGGAGGGGGGAAGAAGTGCAAAGCTGCACAGGAGTTTGTGTGCGGCATTTGTAGCCGCACATTTCCTCAACAAAGCCAACTGAATTCACATATGCGCTACCACACTGGTCTACGGCGTTATTCCTGTCCAACATGCAGCAAGGCCTTCCTCAAGATGTCTGATCTGCGTCGGCATCTGCGTGTCCACTCGGGAGAGAAGCCATTCCCATGCAAGTGGTGTCCACGCAGGTTTTCGCAGTCATCCAACCTGACCGCCCACCTACGCACGCACTCAGGAGAGAAGCCGTTTCATTGCAAGCACTGCGACAAACGCTTTTCTCAGTCATCGTCTCTTAAGATACACGTGCGTACACACGAAATGGCATGCAGCAACCCCACTTGATGACCACCAGTTTTGGTATATTCATAATTAAAAGTCCATGTAAAAATATTAACGAGACCAAAAGGAAGCAAGAGTTTTAGTTTTCTTTGTGATACATTTGGTATATACCAGATAGTTATGTGGCGACCCCACTCGTTGACTGGCTTGTTTAAACCAATTCCCACTCAGATACATATTCAAGGCACACACAAAAAAGAATATATATTCTAAATAGAAACTACATATTAATAAGATGTTTAAACAAATCTATTGTGCCACATTATGGTTCTTTATGAATTTGTATGCAGTTCCATTCATTATCTCATTTAAATTTACAAAATATGTCTGTTTTCCTCACAAATCCTGTTGAAAATCCATCTATAACCTATCCAGTTCAATATATTAGAATGTTAAATATTAAAGTCTTTTCTTTTTGCTCTCAAAAAAATCAGTATCTAGTGCTGTGCATATGAATTAGTATGCACTTAAAAAGCATGTTTTGCAGTTTCACAGAAACCTTTATTTACAAATCAAATTTAAGAAAGTGTATGTAGCTCAGATTAATGATTAATTATTTCATTCCTTTATGTCAAATCTCTGCTTCATGCCCCAGTCACAAAAACAAACTAAAATTTAAAAGTACATTAGCACTTAAATATCACTGTTTCAGGAAATATTACCCAGACCATCTGGGTAAATAGATCACACATTCTCATTTAGTCTATTCTTTATATTAAAAATATTTAGTAGCTGCTTTTTTTTTTTTTTTCTGATAGAAAATAATTTGAAAATTTGTCAGCTTCAAGTTCCTATCGTCTGAATTGATGTGTAGCTATTTTAAATAATGGAAATTATATCCTCACATGTACTCAAAAAAAAAATCAAATTTCTCTTGCTGTCTCTAGTCATCGTAAAACAAACTCATCAACCATGTTTATCCCTTGTGACAACTTGCCCATTTGTTTTTCAAAATTTTTTTAAAAATTTGCTCCAAACAGTGAATCTGATGTTTGCAGGAATCAACGAATTATTATGCAGCTGTACATTTCCCATGAAACTGTCAATGGCTCCATTCCGTACCCCAATCATTTAAACATATCTGCTTCACACACAAGTCGGGTAAAATTTTAAACTTAAAAATCTAATTTGTATTCAAACATAAGTCTTCCTCCTTTTCTTATGAAGCAGTTCATATTCCACAATCCAGCTGTTAGTCCTCTTTGCTTACAAATTCTAAAATACATTGAAAAGGAAACAGTATTTTGTTCAGTGCAAATTATTTACCCTTAATGATGTGCTTCTCCAATCAAGACTCTGCAATCTTTTTCTAATTCACTGGTGTGATAAGGTCGGCTATTTTAGAAAGTCATGTAAAAAAAAAAAAAAAAATGAAATCATTAATGTTTGTACCTTATGGCATAAAATCTCAGTTAAGTTCACATCATGGAAAAATGAATATTGATAGTTTTTTTAATTGTAAGTTCATTCTGTAAAATGTAATTCTGTAAAATTACTTTCTCATATATAAGAAAGATGTATGTATGACAAAGAAGTCAAAAAGTTTTTGTGCTACATATTTTGTCCTTTAGGATATCTATCTATCTATCTATCTATATATATATATATATATATATATAATATGTATGTGTGCATGTGTTTTGTAGAATGCATAATATCTGAAACAAAAGTGAAGATGATTAAACAAAGTGGAATTTTTTTTTTTTATCTGGAGAAAATGTGTGTTCTCTTTGGCTTTTTCAGTTTGACAATAAAAGAAAGATAAAAACATTGTGAGGGAGAAATGTCTTGGTATTTCTGAGAAGTGAACATCTTAGATCAAATTTATTCACCTTATGATTTAGGCTTGAGTCTGTCTGTTGAGCTTGTTTGTTTTATCTGTATTAGAGCTGTTTGGTATTGTTGGATTTTAGATCAGAGAATTATTATATTTTGTAAATACATACATGCCAAATTGTCCTCATAGATCCCAAGACATTTTTTTCCTCATATATATATATATATATATATATATATATAGGTGGGGACTGAATGCACTGTCTCTATCATTAATGAGAAATAGACTCAGTTTCAACAGTGACAAATCCAGATATGAACTATCAGAAGTAAAATTGCTAGGATACATGAGAATCCAAAACTTACATAAAAAAAATCTTGGCACTATACGATCATCCCTATGATAAAAACTACTATGAAAAGAATGCAAATGGGTTCACCACGTTAATTTAATTTCTTGATGACTGAAGTTTGTCTCTTATTATGAGAGAAGCTTCTAACAATGTCAAAAAAAAAACAAGTTTTGAAAGAACACTACTTATCAAAAATATAGGGGATAAGGCTAAGAATTGTCCATTTTTATTGGATAAGAAGAAATCCCAGCATGCATTTATAGGATTTGTCTATAAATTTTGGGAAGTGGGTGTTCTTAGAGGTCATTCTCAGACTACTGAATCCAACAAAAGGCATATTTTTTTTTCCTATTATTAGTTGTTCATAAATGACACCAGCATTTTTTTAAATTTATTTTTTAAAAACCAGTATTCTACTTATATATATGTGTGTGTGTGTGTAGTTGGTGTAATAGTTAGTCACTTAGAACAATAAATTCCAGTCAAGTTCTTTATATTCACTTTCATACAAATATCCTAGGGAAAGGTATGAATCTATTTTTTCTTTCTCCTGGCTATGGGTTAAATAGTCTGGCAAACTAGGCTCTTCAGCCTTGGTTGGCAACTAGTCTGAGAGGATAACTCTGAATTCAAAACTGCTTGGGCATGCTGCTAGCAACTCCATCCCATAAAAATCTACTTGCTACAGATAACATGGTAGCAATGTCTAACACGTTGAAAGCTGTGGCCCCATACTTCTCAATAGAGTATGTAGGAATTAATGGAATATATATATATATATATTTGTTTATTTATTTATAGCAACACTCAAGAAAGAAACAAAGTTCAGACACCTACTTTAGTTTCTTGCTACTGCAAATTGTCAAACAACCAGAACACCTTTCTGGTTGCCTGACAATCATAGTAGTGAGAAACTTGATTTGTGGTCTGAACTTTGTCTCTTTTTTGAATGGTGTTGCTAGGTAGCCTAATTGTTCTGTCTTGGTCATTTAGATATTGAGCACTATTATTCCATAGGTGAGTGTCTGTTCTTTTCTTCTCAGTTTGTGTTTTCTTTTCTTTTTTTGTTGTTTTTTTTTCTTGGTTTCTTGATTTATTAATTTTTGGTTCTTATTTCCTTTGGTCACTTGGCAGGTTTGTGTTGGGTTTACCAATACTTTAGTTTGTTATACCAAAGATTATGTTTTGCCAAAATGGTCAATCAGTGCATTTCTGGGGGATAAGATAACACTTTTAAGGAAAGCAGTCTTTGTAAATAAAGTGCTTAATATCAAGAGATAGAACATTAATAGCAACAAATAAATAAAGGGAAAGATATGTTTAACTTTATTTGTTGATACATATAAAATGTTGGCAGTATGGATTTGTGTAAATGCTGATTAATCATAGACACTATTACAGATTGAACTTACAGGTAGAATAAATGGCTACTGTGATGTATATAATCTCTAACACAATAACCATGATTTTCTAAACATTCATTCATACTTTAGCTGAAACCTAACCCTGCCAATGAATGGAAAATATGTAGAGAGTTCAATCAGACCTCTGCTTGAATTTGTTGCTACTGTGATTGTTTGGCAACCAGAACACCTTTTTGATTGCCTGACAATCATGGTAGTGAGAAACTTGATTAGCAATCTGAACTTTGTCTCTTTTTTAAGTGGTGTCGCTGGGTAGCGCTTTCATGGCCTAGAATCATACAAAAATGAATACAAAGCAGTGTATTGTTTAATTTTAATTAACATTCATTAAAATATATCTATTCTTCAGGTATCTACATTTTCGAGGTCTGTTTCAATTGAAAGTCATCAAAAAATTAATTCTTTTATTCTGTTAAGATAAATTACATTTTGCAAGTTACCAACCAGCTTATTCTTATTGCAGGTCTGTTTCCATTTAAAATAATGAAGAGCGGACCTATAGAAGCTATGTAAGCAAGTGAAATTGATGTATTATTCAATTTGCAATTCATTTCATGTGTGCACATTAATCAGTGCACCTGTCATTCCATTCCATGATCATTCATTCAAAGACATGATTTGCTTTTGATGCCATGAAAAAAAAATAATGAAAGAATCAAAAGCAAGCACTACATTAGCCAACTGTCCAACTCTCACCAACTTCAATAAAGCAGTGCATAGATTGAGCTTAAAAGAAGCTTAATCAATTCATTTCCATCAACTATTTGCAAAACTCAGAAAAATTACAAAATCAATATGCAACTGTTTGCCGCAAACTCTTATTCCATCTTGTGTAGACCAAACAAAAGTCCACTGAAAATGCCATGTCATCCATTCACTTTTCCACCACAAAATTTCTGTTACTTAAAGGATATAAAAAAAATTTAATAAACTCAAAAATTATTTAAAAAAAAAAAAAAAAAAAAAAAAAAAAGAAATCATATAAAGCAACATATTGGTGATCATCACTCGAGTCCAATTCATATGTTAATCTTTACCAGAAAAGCCTGGTAAAATGTCTGAGGAACTTATTGTCCCAACCATGACACATGATATTTTTTTTTCTTCCCTTCAGCTAGTTTGCCTCTTGCATGAAATTTGTTGACTGTGAAAATTTTTGTATAGTCAATAGAAAAAAAGAAAAAATCTCAGACTGAAACCAGGTTGCTAGAATTGGTTGAGAAATACAGAACTATTGTTGAAGCTTTATAAAGAAAAATATTAAAAAAAAAAAAAAAGAAAATTCTTTTTTTAAAATTTGAGAAAATATGCTTTCATCTGCTCTCTCTCTCTCTGCTACCAGATTTGCATTGCCCTCTTTCTCACTTCTACCAGTTTTGCATCCCCTTTCCCTCTCCTCCTCCTACCAGATTTCCATCCCTCTCTTTGCTACTTGATTTGCATCCTTCACCTCCCCTCTCTCTCTTTCTATGCTACCAGATTTGCATCCCTCCTGTAACAGAACATTTGACTTCAAGAATATCAGTTGCCATGTGGTCATTGGTTGTGCAAGACAATTCCAGAAAATCCAAACAGATTTTCCTGAAATTTATTATATTGCAGGTACCTCTCTGCCATTAACCCTCCTTGCTCCCCTCTCACCATCTGGCCTCTGGTTGACCCATGCCAAGAATGGCTCCACAAGAGGGTGGGTCAACATTTTGCCAAATCCAGACCTGTGTTTAGTACCATTCTGTTGATTAGTATCATCCAAATACTTTCCCCAACTTACAAATAAAAGAAACTGTCCAATGTCTGCAAATAAGTACTTACCAGCTGAACAGCATTTATGTTATAAATATACTGCATATATATATATATATATATATATATATATATATATATATATATATATATATATAGATGTGTGTGTGCTCACACATATATACATATGTAGGTATGCATATCTATATACATGTGCCAAGTAGGGCACATTTGTATGTGTGTCTTTATATGTGTATAATATATATATATATATATATATATATATATATATATATATAAACTCACACCTGTGCACACATGTAGATATGAATGTCTTTTTATATATGTGCGCCAAATGAAGTAGGCAAGTGTATAAATTATATATGCACATACTGTGTTGTGCATTTAGGCCTGTGTTTTTTTGTATGTATGTCTGTGTGGTATAAGTGAGAAAAAGAAAGTATGATTTCATAATGTGTGTGTGTGTACAGGCCTCTTGAAGAGTCCATACTGTCCATGTGTAACTGACTGTAAAAAGTTAATGGTGCCGTCTTGAACATTGTATATATTTATATAAAACTATACCACTATAACGCAGGTATAAAATCTCTTTACTTTGTTTCTTTTTTATTTTATCTTTTTTCTCTCTGTTTGCCTTTTTTTTTCTTTCTTTTTTTTTCAAAGTTGGTTTTTAACGGCTACAAACTTTCAAAATAGTGGGGAAAGATTCTAAGAACAAAAAGGTTTGTAAAATTTTTATTTCTTTCTCTATTTGTAAAGAATCTTTTTATTTTTTCATTTCACCCCAAGTAAGGTGATAAAGCCACAAAGATGCAAGTGTTTATTTATTTTTTTGTTGATTCATTTTCTATGGTTTATTAATCCCTTTCAGGTTATAGATTGTAAGATATTTTTTTTTATTTTTGAGATAGTAATAGACTAGTGTTACAAGTCTTACTAATTAACCCATAGCTGGGGGTTAGAAGAGGTGGAGTCATACCTTTCCCAAGGGTATTTGTACATAAGTGAATATAATGAAAAGAATTGGAACTAGCAATTGCATGAAATTCATTTTTTTTTTCTTTTTTAATCATTTTACCCCCAACCAAGGCAATAAAACCACTAGGATACAATAGGTTACTGAGTGTTAGAGAATATAAGAAAAATTACTATTAAAGAGAAAGGACAATAAAAGAACAGGAATTAAGAATACAGACAATAATGATTGACATTGCATTTAAAGTTTTCAAGATCAAAGTTGACTGGGAAACAAGAAGCTGGAAGAGAGTTCCACAGGGAAGATGTATGATAGAAGAAACTGTCAGCAGAGAACTTACGGTTACATCTAGCCATTTAAACTAAATTGACAAGACCATGTCACCATTCTATTACTGTGCTTAAATTCATAAAGTCTAGGTATCATAGAGGAAAGTTTATCAGAATAATTACCATGAAAGTATTTATGGAAAAAGAACTGAAACTGAGATGTCAGGTCAGGACCAATAACACTGCAGATTCTTCTTTGGATTTTATCAAGAATATCTAAATATATAGCAGGAGCACCAGACCAGATGTAGCCGTATTCAGAGCAAGAATGAATGGTAGACTTATAAATATGTAAGATAGATTCTGGCAAAACAATTATCTAGCATGACATAGTCAATCAACTTGCATGTAATTTTGTCTGAATTAAAAGAGGTAACATCAGAGGTTACAGGTCATCGGTTGCTGGAAAACTGGTGGTGAAAATGTATAATCTATTTCTTTTTCTTACTATTATTTCATATTTTTTTAGTTATTTTATTTATATTTTTGTTATATTTTTGCTTATGTTTATATTTTTACTCAGATTTTTAGTTATATTTTCCTTAGATTTTTACTTAGATTTTGTTGTGTTGAATAAAAGTGAACAGTACATGAGAAGATTAATTCACGTTAAAATCACTCAAAAGAAATTCTTTGCTTAACCCATTAATAACCACTGTAAAATCAAGTATTAATTATAAAAATTAAAATAAGAATCTAGTGTTAATCCCTGGTATTATAAGTTTATAAAGATCATGTATTATAGGTTTAAAAGAAATATATATATATATATATATATATATCTCCTGTATAAATTATAGTTTTGAAAAATATTAAAAAATAGCTATATTATAGTTTTATAAAAACCTGTAAAATTATATTTTTGAAAAATATATATAAAAAAAACTTTATTATAGGTTCATAAATCTTGTACTACAGTTTAAATATATATATATATATATAAACCTTTTATATTATAAAAATCTTTCATTATAAGCAGTTACACCAGCCACAAGGACAATTGGTGAGTCTTCCCAGTTTTTTGGTTTATTTCTCGCACTGCTGATGAAGGACACAAGTGTGCCCAAAAATTCTGGACTTATAACCTTAATTTCCATGCTTCATTTTTGTCTTGTGGTTAATAATATTTAATAAATATTTTTCATACTGATCACATTGGTACCCTTTCATTTGCCCTCGTTTTATTAGTCAACTTATCTATTTTATATATATATATATATATATATGCCTAGTATTACAGGTTTCTACCTGTAATGCATTAATGTTCACAGTACCCAAAAAAATGGGGTGGCTGCAAAGTGAGTCCAAAAAGTTATTGACTTGGATTGTAAGCATTAATGGGTCAAAGTCCAAGAAATTTATTTTTATCATTTTTTTTGTTATTATTTACTTAGTGATGCTGCTATGTATAAATTCAGAGATCACCAAAAATGAAAATGCAAACCCGAAATCATTTATAACAAAACCCAGCCCTTTATTAAACTTTCCTTAGACTTTTACTCTCCTTTATGACTACAAAGAGAACAATAAAGAGAAACCTAAGACTGCAGCTTCTTATGACTGCAGATAAAATGATGGATTCTGAATACATAATATGCAGAAGTTCAAGTAAACCTTTTTCTTTCTTTTTTTAACATTTTGCTAAGAGATAAAATAATTCTTATCAGACTTTTTCTCCGTTTTACTTGATTTTATTACAAATTTGTTTACATGGTTTTAAAATAATTTTATTCCCAAACTTTTTATGAATATAGCTATAATTTATTATAACTATTAGGTTCTTTTTTTTTGGTGGGGAGGGGGTCCCTTCAGGGTGTAAGTAATCATGGTTCTCCAAAGATCTTTTTTTCTTTATTATCTGTAAATTCCTATGACTTTTTGGGAGAATTGGTGGAATGGTTTCCTGTTGTCTACTCTGTAAATTTGAATTCAGATTAAGGTCTATTCTGAATTAGACTGGCTGCTAGACAATGCTAGAGAACTTAGTCTACCTTGCTATTTAACCCACAGATTAGAGAGTAGAGAAGGGATGGATTCATTCTTTTCCCATGCAATATAATTTATAAATTTGGTTTAGAAGCCATAATGGATTGTAAAATTGAGTTTTTATTTGTCATGTTTTATGGATATTTCCTATGATTTATATCATTGGACATCAAATAAGAAATTTAAAATGTGGTTACAGATATAAATATACAAAAATGTTTAATAATAATAATCTTCAGCTATGATTGGCATACTGACACTTGTCATGTTGACCAGGGCAGGTGCTTTGTGATCCTCTCTCTCGTATAAACATTTGCTTTTTTTTTACCTACATTTATATACGTTAAAATTAAACTAAGCACAGCTGACTATTAAAGGATGTAAAATTTTTGCAGATTCTGATGTCATTCTGGCGTTTTTTTTTGTTTTTTGGGTTTTTTTTTTTACAAATCTGAATTTGTTTTGCTCATGCTTAGTCTCAGAAAGACATTATATAAAATTCACTATTTTTTATCCATAATGTAGAATGTGTTAAAATTATACAACTTTTTAAAAAGAAAAATCTCAAGTTGATATTAAAAATAGCTTCAAAACATTGTTGACTTTATTTAAGATGAATTGATCTATTATGACATGTTTCTAATTTGTATTTAGAGACATTGTATTTATTTTCAATTTTTCTAGTTGAAGTGTTCGCCTACAAGAGTCGTTCAAAAAGTTCTAAGCTTCACCCAGAATGAAGAGCCATAGCTGAACATTTTTGTTGTGGTAACACACTACCACTTCTTATAAAACTAGAAAAACTAATTCAGATTTCTGTTTTAATTTCTGTGCAGGTGAGAGGTGTGTGACAAATCTAAAAATGGACAAAACAGAAGCCCGTCAGTCATAAATATCTGCAAAAGAAAGGTATGACACCCAAGGAAATCCACAAGGACATGATTCAGATACTTGTTAAGGACTCCCTTTTCTATGCAACTGTGAAGAAATGGGCTGTGGAATTCAATTTGGGCAGAGACTGTACAGAAGATGACCCTTGGTCAGGTTGTCCAAAAACCTCAATCACTGATGAACAAGTTCACCATGTGGTTTGGGATGACAGACGTCTTATTGTCCAGCAAATAACTAAGTCCATCGGCATTAGTTCTGGTTTGATCTATACTGTTTTAACTGAGATCTTGGGAATGAGCAAGTTGTCTGAAAGTCCCAAGAATGCTGACACCAGAGCAGAAGCTGAAAAGGCTTGACATTTCCAGGACACTTCTGGCTTGCTTCCATGCTGACTCTGAATTTCTACCACAGATTAGTAACTCAAAATAAAACCTAGGTTCACCACTTTGAACCTGAATCAAAGATTCAAAGCAAACAGTTGAAACACTATGGTTCTCTACTTCCGAAGAAGTTCAAGCAGGCAGCCTCTGTTGGTAAGGTGATGGCTTTTATTTTTGGGGATTTTGAAGGCGTAGTCATGAGACTACCTGGAAAAGGAAAAAGCTATTAATGGACAGTACCTATGCATCAGAATTAAGACAACTGAAAGAAGCAATGAAGTCGAAATGCAGAGGGAAGCTGAGGAGAGGCGTGCTCTAGGATAATGCGCCTGTTCACACTTCAGTAGCTGAAGCAGTTAAGTGGGTTTTTAAATTTGCTATCCCATCTTACTCACCAGACTTAACTCCATCTGACTTATTCCTGTTTCCTAAATTCAAATCCCACTTGCATGGTTGCCGTTTTGAAAACAATGATGAGATTGTATATGCTGTGGAGGTGCTTTTGGAGGACCAGGATGCCATTTTCTTCTTTGATGGAATTGCAATGCTTAAGCATTTTTAAACCAAGTGCATTGATGTCAAGTGGTCTATATTGAAAAATAGTGAAAAACTGTCTTGTTTCTCCAACGCCTGAGTGATGCTTAGAACTTTTTGAAGGAGTCTTGTATATTACATATTATTATTATTATTATTATTATATATAATTAGGTTACGATAAAATTTGTATTTTATATTAATACTACCTTAGGAAAATTGAGGTGTAGTACTGTTGGGTGCACTATATCATAGATTTGGTGGGGGGAATGAGAGCCTTGCACTGGCCTTGTTATGATAACAAAGATTGCGTTTTGAAAACATAAAACAGTTAGCCAATGTAAATCGGTAGAATAATGTTTTTAATTTTAAGACTAATTGATTAATCTGTAGGATAACATTTTTAATTTTAAGGTTAATAAACTAATTTTTCCAACTTGAAATTTTTCATATATGTCTGTTCGTCAAGAGGCACAAGACATTTGTATCAGCCCTGGTTTTGACCCACTTCTTAAAATTTGACTAAATGACCAAACATAAATTGGTTTTTTTTTTTACTTTCTTCTTGGTGAGGCTGAGAACTTTTCAGAATTTCCTCATTTGATTATAAGATTTCTTCTATCTTGTAATATTCTGAAATGTCGGATTTCAATGCTTGTTTATGATTTAATGGTGTAATAAAACACAAAATAAAGTGAAGGAGTTTTTAACCACTTGGGACTGATATTGGGAAGATATTTTATCTGTTTCTCCAGGACAATTATTTCTTTCACTGTCTTCATCACTATTTCCAAATGAATTTGAAATGCTATCCAATTTATTACCAGAGTAAGAAAACTCAAGACAAAGAAAATTCTTAGATCAATTTACTAGGAGATCAAATAAATGTTCAGTTTGAAATTCCCTGTATATTACCTAGGTTGACATACACCTGATGAATGATGGAGCGCATAAACAGTTGAAATGTGGTGATAACAACAAAGATGAGGACATTAGTCCGCATATAAATAAGAAAATTCTTGTAATATATGATAACCTACTTGCCTTGAAAATCAGCATCTAGAACTCAGAATGAACACTAGCCATAGGCACCAATGAGGAATACAAAGCTATCTCACTTGTGAAGCAGACCCAGTTTCTTTGATAGGAATAGAATTTCAATTCAATGTGAAGAATTTATTTATTGACTACAATTAAGACAACTTTGAAATTGTTCATTCAAGTTATTATCTATAGTTTGGGTCATCCAAATGTCACAGAGCAAGATGTAACATGGTTGTCATACTTACTTTTATTTTACCGGGTACCCGTTACCATGCCATACTGATTATTTACCAATGCTGAATAATATAAAAAAATAAGAGCAATGACTGACAATGATTCAAGTTAAAAAGGTAAGATTAAATTTGTGTCCTTTCATATTTTTTTTACAAAACTGATCAACATTTACAATCCAAGAAACTTAGATGCAGACGTGATTTGGTGGTGGAGGGAGGGGTAGTGTTTTTTATTTTTTATTTTTTTTTACGATCTGCTAAAGAGGAGTAGTCGTAAAAAAGTGACCGTTGCTGCTAGGAATTGAGGAAAAAAAAGAAAGGATAGTGTTTTCTTTTTCTCAAAGTAAAAAAAAAAAAAAAAAAAATTAAATTTCAGCTAGTTTTTCACTTTTACTGCTGGAATGTTCCTCCAGTTCATCCCCTAGAATATTTTAAGCAGTCTCGTTTTAGAGAGCAACAGATCTACCAACCTGTGGATGGATTCGTACTTTTTATAGAGTAACCAGAGATCCAGTTTTACTTATAAAAGGGGATTTTCTGAGGTAACACCGCATTGTTTTGATTTTAAGTAACGAGCATGCGCTGTAAGCTGTTCGTTGTCGTTCAAAGCCTCGCCGTGTCTGCTCCTGTGTTATCTTTTGGTGAGTTGCTCTCTCTCCTCGGAATTTTATTTCTCCTAAAAGAATGTGGGAGACAGCCGAGGACTGGAAGCAAGTACATGATAACAAGTGTCTACTTGTCCTCTTAATAGAAAATCAATAATTTCTTATGTATTATTTTTTTTTATCTCTGTTAGTGAATGAAACAAAAAGGGACAAACTGTAAGTAATTTAAAAAAGAAAAAAAAACGTGATGGCACGTAATTCTGCACATTACGTTTGCTTTAAAAAGTAAGTTTTGGTATCGAAGAGTAAGAAAAAAGTAATTTATCATCTGAAATAATATTCAATTAGTTTTAAATCTTGATTTATTTTTCGGTGGTAGTTCAAATTCCATGCTTTTATTTTTACAATCAAGTATCAAAGTTACAAATTATAAATTGGAATTTTCCTGTAAAGTTTTCTTTGTGAAATTTGTCGAAGCAAAAGCATCAGGTTTGTCGTGTTTCAAACTGTGAAGTTTGTCATTCAATTCGAGAGTAAGTTAAAAAAAACACTTTAAAAGTCAGTTTTTTTTTTAAGCTGCTTTGCCTTCCCATCCTGGTTCTCCAACCCCAGACAGAAATGGCTGTAGCCCATTTTTTTTTTTTTTTTTATTTTTATTAGTTGTCTGCTATAGTGTAACGGTAACCGCATTTCTGTACCCAGCAGTCTTTCTTGCATGGGTGTTGCTAGGAAAAAGAAAAAATTAAAAATGTTTTATTTAAAAACTATAAATATGTTTTACTTTTATTAATTTTAGATTTATGTCTGACTAGTCTAAACTCCACGTACTTTTCTTTTTAGTTCTCTAATTTCAAATGAATTTTACTTTTTTTTTAAAAAATAATCTGCAATATAAATTTTTTTCTAATTTTATTTACGAATTGTTGTGATATGACCCAGTTTAAATTGGACTCAGTGGAATTGACTTCTGATATTTACCCTGAAGATTTCTTTTTTAAATTTACGATTTTTTTTTCCTTTTTGAACCCTTATTAATTAAAAGTTAAAGTAGCTTTTCTTTTTTCTTTTTTAAAAAAAAAACAAAAAACTAGTGGATCGCGAAAATAAGCTGCTTATTAACTTGATAAATTCCATCTTGCTTAGCTTTTTCAAACAGACATTTTTTTTGTTACTTAACTTATCTATTATATTTTTGTAATGTTTCAATGCAATCGGATTCTTAAAGAATAAAACAAAAAAAAAAAAATCTAAATAATGTATTTTACACTTACTCTACCAATAGTGACTTGTTAAATTTATAAATCTCATTCTCAACTGTATCATCCACCTCAGTGGAAAATACTACGCATTTTTGTGTTTATTTTAAGTCTCAAATAAATAAATAAATAAAAGTAATGGCTCATTTGATAAAGACGTCGATAACTCTCCGTTTTGCAAGTACAGAAATGAATAGACTACTTTGGTGATAAGGATTTACCAAGATACCTGCTCATAGTCTCAAACCAATTCCTCTTTTATTATACTTGGTTTAAAATTAGATTTTTACCACAATATCATCAGCACTCACCTCTCTGGCAAAAAGATAATCCTGATCATAAATTGTGCTGGTTAATAAAATTTCAGATTATAAGTGAGCATCTCCGTTTTATATGAAAGTTTTATCTATTTAGTTATTATTTGTTTTAACAACATATGAAGTCATGATCTAAAAAAAATAAATAAAAATGTCCTATAGAGTAAAAAGTGGTAGACTGGTCAGGGTGGCAAGTGGACACCCTAAATAGAAATGTAAATAATGTACCCTTTTTTCCATATGTATTTTTTAAAATTCTATTTATTCGTTATGAAACTTAAAAATGATAGCTTTGTAATTGTGGGTGGACCTCCTTGGCAATCAATATTTTTAGGCCCAGTTTGCTACTGGTTGAGAAAGGAAGCAATATTTGATGTTATAGCTTGGTGGTTAGAGAAAATTTACTGCATATAATTTTCATCTGAAGTGATAGACTAAATAAATGTGTGATTTTTACAGATTTTTCAAATTTGTGAACAAAGAAAGGTTTAATTACGACCTTAATAATTGAGGATTTTAATAGGTTCTTATCTAGCTCATGGGGTTAAACTTCTGAGCTCTCAAATTTGCTATCTGTTCTAACTACTGAGATATAACTAGTTGTCAGTAAGTTTGTGCTCAAATAATGAGGATTTTTATGTATCTAAAATCTTTTACTTTTTGTTTCCCCATTTGTTTTGGAATTGCAGAGTCATTATGAATTTTTAAATTGTAGGGTTAATTTTTAATACTAAATTTTATAAATGTACTGTACTTTTTTTTTCTTTGGAGTGGTTTATATAAGGTGTTTCCATGTTTTAATACTAGTAATGAAATCTCTAAGTAACATTGCATTTTATTCATCTATTACTATCAGCAAGTGTGTGGCCTTTGGTCCTCATCTGAATGAAGACCTTATATTCTTGTGTGCTGAGAGGGACTGCCCATCTCTAGGTGCATGTTTATAAGGGTGTTTCATTAAGACGGATCAAAGTCAGCAGTGAATAAATCAGTGTTATTGGTGAAAATTTATTTATTTCTCTATTGGATCATGTTATTTAAGCCATGGCAATTATGTGTGAAAATAAATATCACCCAAATGTCCACCAAGGCTTCAGCGGCACACCTCCACTCGATTGTCAAAATTTTTTATGACGTCTCTGCATAGTTGCAGAATGAATTTGCTGTTGAATTGTTATTGGCTGGCTTGTTGGCATAGACCTTACTTTTAAGATGACCCCCAAAAGAAGAAATCTAAAGGCATCAAGTTGCCTGATTGTGGTGGTTCGCTGTTTTGAGAGATGATGCAACCTGGGAACTTCTCATTCAGATTCTGTTTGAACGTCAATTTTCATAATAGGCTTCAATAACTTTAACACATTGTTTGATTGTTAATCTTTCCATGGTTGAAAAACTTGTTAAATCTGAAAGAAATCATTAGATGCTTAACCTTAATTCACATTTAAAATCAGTCCAAGTTATTGGAACACCCTTTATATCTGCCTGTAATACATTTATTACCCATGCTTGTAACCTAGGCATAACTGGGTTGACCATGTGGGTCTAGCACATGCACCTGATTTCCTTAATGGTCAGCTGTGACAATGATTCCAAATTCTATTATGTATAATACAAATTTTGTTAAAAACAAAGAAAAGAGTACTGAACTGTTGTGTAACATCAGTCCTCCTATATGGCAGTGAATGCTGGACAATCTCCTCAGATGAAGAAAAGACTTGAGGCAATAGAAATGTGGTTCTACAGAAAGATGTTGAGAATACTATGGACTGAACATGTGAGCAATGATGAAGTTTTAGAGAAAATGAAAATGAAAAGAATACTTATGCTTCACATCAACAAGAGATAGCTTAAATTTCTAAGGTATATAATGAGGAGAGGATGCTTGGAAAATTTGATACACACAGGACAGATTGAAAGCAATAGGGACAGGCATACAATCGATAACCTACCTGGAGAACTTTAGTAAATGGATGGTGGAGCAAGATTTAGGAGAGATAACAGACAAAATTTATTAAGAGCTACAAATGACAGGAAGTTATGGAAAGCTATGATTGCCAAAGTCCTGAAGAAGCATGGCACAGAAGAAGAATGAAAGTATTTGTCAGTGGTTTATATATATATATATATATATATATATATATATATATGACTTCATGTTATCAGTGGTTTAGGCCTGTTACTGGTAACATGTAACCTACCACATGGATGGGTGATTGGCATCTAAACCAGCTCTCTCCCACTAGCTTTTCTACTGGTGGGGAGGGTGGTATATCACACCACAGGATGAAAAACAAGACCTGTCAAAGGGCTGGTGAACTTCATATAGGAACCAAGGGCCAACATTTTTCTGGCCTATCACCAGAGTGTTTTAAGTTGGCCCAGGGGTGCACAGTAAAAATATATTAAAATGAAGAGCATAGATGAGAAAAATAATTACTCACTGTAAAGTGGTGAATTGAAGGAAAAAAAAAGAAAAAGCTAACTTGTTATCACTCTTTTCTCTTCAGAACTCAATTTAGGACAAGTCATGTGTGCAACAACTAAAATCATAGCAAAAGGAACAGTCATGGAAATATAATGTAATTTGTCTGTGATTCATAGTGCTGACTTTCTGGTAGTATTTTTTATAGACTAGGATGGGGGTTTCAAACCTTGAACCTTCCTAGAATTGGTGTCTTGATAAAAACACTTGGTATACTTAGTGTCAGAGTTGGACATCAAGAAAAGCATCCAGCCTTATAAAACCTTGCCTGTCAATTATGACGACAAGTTTCAGTATGTTGACAAGCATATGTGGAGAGGTAAACTAAGATCTTCTGTCAGGTAGGACCCACCTTGCTTTGTGTGAGATTAATTCCAGTCCTGCTTCAACAACAACAAAAAACATTATGATGATGAAACATAATTTTTAATGGATACCTAAAACTGAGCAGATAATGGCTTTTAAGAAATTCTGAACAAGTAAATTTCCTTTAAGGCAAATAGAACCTTGCTTGATTATGAAGCTCTCCATAGCTGAGCGGTCGAAGCACACCAGATCAGACAGTGGTTTCTCCTGTAAAGGGGAATGTAGGTTTGAATCCTGCCAATGGGCACAAGTTTTCTCAAGTGTGCAGACCAGTAGACAAAATAAACACTCTTTTATTTTTTTAGGTTCATATGTTAAACTTTGGGAAAAATGTATTACCATAAAGTAATGAATCAAAAAATATAACAAAAAAACCTTAAATAAAAACAAACTAGAAAAAAATCTAATCAGTTATTGCTCCTCACTTCTCAGAGCTCAATCAGCAACAAAACGTGCACAATGACTAAAATGGGGTCGGGGAATACTACCAGAGAATCAGCACTATGAATCACAGACAAATCACATTATGATCCAGTGAGTGTTCCTTCTGCTATGATTTTAGTCATCATGCACATGTTTTGTCTTCAATTGAACACTGAAGAAAGAAGAGTGATAACCATTTTTTTTTCTTTTCAATTCACCACTTTATGGTGAGTAATTATTTATTTTTCTTATCCATGCTCTTCTTTCCCACTTTGTTTGAATATATTTTGTATAATATAAATATTCTTTTAATATGTGTGTTTTTAAAGCCATAGTATAATTTTATTGTGCAAATTCTTACTTACAGCCCCTACCCCAGAAAGAATTTAGTTCACAAATGTTTTGAACAACTTTTGATATTTACGTTCTAAATCAACTAGAACAGCTTATCTTTGTCACCTATTTTGATAAACTATTTCATGTTGGACTGGAAAAGGTTTAAGAAATGAAACTTTCTTTGTCATGATGCAAAAACTGTAGGAGAGACGAAGGGTTTAGTATAACACGAAAAGCAAATTCAGTTTTCCTGGTAGTAAATGGGGGTAATTACTATTGAACTCAATTCTTTTTGTAATTACTACATTTTGGTAGATCCATTCTCATAGCCTTCTTCAGGTGTAAAATATCTACAGAAAGAGGGAGGACTATTTTTTTTTCCTTCACTATCATTTTTGTTCTCATTTTACAGTTGCACACTGTCACGTGCAGAAATGGGACAGAGTGTCCAACAATCCCAGGCATCCAACCAAAGAGTGAAATAAAAAATTAGTTTATAATTAATTTGAATAAAGTGTTTATTTCATGTTTCATCAGTTTTTACATTATTAAAATGACTTCCTTTCTCACATTTCTTAGTAGTAGCCCCCCCTCCCCATTTGAGTATTAGGGGCATACAATCAAGGAGTTGGCTCCAGGCATCACCAGACATCACTGGTTGCACACCATAAAATGATAGCAAATAGTAATAGTGACATATATTCTTGCATTGTTGTGAATTCTTTGCTCTGATTAATATGGAATTGCCTGTGTTACATGTGTTGCTATGCATGGGTTGGTCCATTCAGTGTATTTGCCAGTATTTCATTTTCTCTTTATCATTTATCAGTTATGCTACTGAAAAGTGAAGAAGACCCTCCCATTTTTCCCTGTGGACTGTACACCCAAAGGCTATTGAATAGATTGGCTGAAACATTGTTAGTTAACAAAAAAAAAATGAGCCTTAAAAGTTTTGTTCCAAAAACTCTGGGAAGGAGCCATATTGCTTTTTTCCCCACCCCCTTACTAAAATATAAGTTACATAACCCTAAAACCTCCAAAGTATGATGGCATTAATTGCCTAGATACCATTTTTTACTGACGGCTCTCTTTGTTCCAGCCTCCACTCTGAAGAACAGGAATTTGCCCGATTGGTCAGCCAGTGAGATTTTTTACCTTTGCTCACTATGGCAGGATTGATGCCATTGGACCTACTTTCTTCACCTCAGCTGGCAGTACCATCGTCTACACTTGTGTCAGGGGAGCCTAACCCTGGAACCCAACCCAGGCTTGAAAAACTCTATAAGTGTGACTACTGTGTCAAAGGATTTAAAAAGTCTTCAACACTGTCATATCACGTCCGTTCTCACACAGGTGAAAAGCCATACAAATGTGATCATTGTGATCGTCGTTTTATGCAACAAAGTCACTTGGTGGGTCATCTACGCAGTCACACAGGAGACCGTCCATACAAGTGTGGGTTTTGTCAGCGGGGCTTCTTCACAGCATCACACTTGACACAACACAGCAAGATCCATACGTGCGAAAAATCTTTCAAATGTGACGTCTGCAGTCAGTTTTTCTCACAGTATGAGACACTGGCAGAACACATGCAGATACACTCTAAACCACGGCCATTCAAGTGTGACTTTTGCGAAAAGGGATTCACATCTTCATCCAACCTTACCAAGCATAAAAGGATCCACACAAAACCATGCAAATGCCCCGTTTGTAACAAAGGGTTTGTCCGTAATTCTGAGGTAGCCAGGCACATGCGAACCCATACAAATGAAAATGCATCAGAGCCAATGCCACCTGCCATTGGAACTGCATTTACACTGGAGAATGATTTCTTACAGTCATATAATCAGGTAGAAAACACACATCTGGTACCTGAAATGTCTGACCTGGATATACCTGGTGATACTGCTGCTGCAGCTACAGTCACAAATTCAGATAATGGCAAATGTTTGCCATTGGACCATATGCAGCATCTAGACCTAAGTCGGACACTGATACCCCTCAGCTACCATTTGGTTCCTTAAAAAAGAGAAGAAAAAAAAGAAAAAAAAAGTACATTTTTCTCTTCCGTCTTTGAGGTTGTATTATATATTTATTGGATTATTTCCTGTCCCACCAATAAGGAATACTTCATTGTCAATAGCTTGCAATAATAGCTTACTAACCATTATGTTATATCCAACAGGTGTTCAGAATAGATATTTGTTTGAACTTTACTGGTGTTGGTGCAGAATAATGTTTCCAAAGCACAGAGCTCACTTTGAATGGCTTGCAAGTGCAGCACCTAGCTACAGTATTAACACGAGTGCTTTTTATTTATTAGGTTGTAACATCAATATAGGTACAAAGAAAATCTGGTACTCCCCTCATTTTTAAAAAGGAATTAAGTTAAAAATTTAATCAGAATCAGTTTTAAACTTATTCTTCATGTACTGGCTATTATTAACACTATGTTTCAACCAATCCATTTCCCAATCCTCTTCAGGTGTATTCTGTAGTGAAATAAGATTGCTGCTGTTAACATTTTTACCCTCTCAAACCTATGGCAGTGTGAAGTGGGGCCACAGAAAAAGAACCTGTAGATTTGTTTACATACAGGCATATCCACAAACAAATTTAAAATATTTTCTTCAACTCTCATATTTGAAATCTTGAAATCTAAAATATGCATGGAAATTTCCTTTTCTTAGAGATTCTGCTCAATACCGAATTGACCATTTAAATAGATTTGCATCCTCATACATGAATGATGTCAAGTATGAAATTAAAAACAATGATGGATTAATTAAAGTGAAAAAATAAAAACATATGCATATATATACACAAGGTACAGCAGATTAAGCTTTTTATTCAATTTTTCTTGTTGCAGATGGAGTTTGCTAGGTTTCTATTTGTGTTTAAATATTTACCAAACTCCATCAGGAACATGCTCAGAAAATACAACTATAATAACCTCACCCACATGTAAAAAAAAAAATGACTAAAAATAATGGAAGTATTAATAATAATAAAAAAAAAAAAAAAAAAAAGCCAACACTCAATAACATCAACTATGAACACACCTAACAATGTCTGTGTTTGGAAAATAAGAAAATATTCCATCACTTGAGATAGATCTATAAAAAATGCACACATTATTTAAAAAAAATAAAATCATTTGATAATTGCAATATTAATTTTAATAGAAATGTGTGTGTGTGTGTGTGTATATATATATATATATATATATTTATATATATAAACATTTGGACAGTTTTTACACACTTTATGTTCAGAAAAAAAACACTTATATGAACACAAGAAGAATTGAATAAAAAGCTTAATTGCAGTACATTGTCAGTTATCTTTAATGAAGCTTGTATAAAAGAGGGATTGCTGCCCAAATACGTGTGTGTATATATATATATATATATATATATATATACACACACACACACACACACACACACACACACACAAAACTACATAATTCTCTGACTATATTTCTGAGATGTATCAAATATTTACATTGTTTGGACTATTATTCACTAACGTTTCAGCTATTGTACAGCCTTCTTCAGGTGATTTATGTTTGAATTGTGGACAATGCCATGCCTTTTCTGGATATCTCAGTTATTTCCCTTTAGTACCTCAACTTTCCAAGTTTTTGTTCACCTCTGCTGTGGCCAGGTATTGAACTCACAACTCTTTGGGTCAAGTCACTGGTTTACTTCAAACAATGCTTTTATCCACTTAGGGACATCAGTGTATGAATTTCTGGGACTTATAAACCTAATGTCTTAGTAACCATTTTTACCAAAGCTCGTATTACAATTTTGTTGCTATTATTTTCCTCTAACAATCTATATTACTGGTTTCCATATTGTATTCGTGTCTATGCGTGGATGGTTTGGAAGATTTTTGTGACTGAAAAAGGCCAGAGCATACAATGGGCAAAATGTGAATATTACTATAAAGATGAGGACAATAGTCCAAACAATGTAAATGCATAAAAATTATATGAAACAAATAAATAATGAAGCAACTTGTTTTCCCTCCAAAAACCAGTGTGATGATGAAGAGAGCTACAATGATGATACAAAAATTCATAGTTGGTAAAAGAATAGTCTTGATCAAAACAAAATCAACATTCTTTACCAAAAAGTAGGGATTAAAATAAACGTTTCCAAAAGAGAAAGTATGATCTGAAATTGGAACATGAGTACTAATGGCACCTGCCCTGAATCCATCATAAAAAATCCAAAATGTTGAATAAATAAATTCTAAACATTTTAAATACCTTGGTGTATGGGTCAGTTATAAAAAAAATTCAGTAAGGAGATAAGGAAATGGCTTCAAGTGTATGAATCTTTCAGGTCTAAAAAAGACAATCTCTATCAGATGCTATAGATTGGCGCTACAAGATTGCAGACAGCTTTACGAAATAGCAAAAATCAAACCACTTGAAGTCTTCCAAGAAAAACAGGTAGCACATATAACTAGAAGGGAAAAGTAATGATATAATCAAGATGGTGACATTCCACACTAACTTAAACAAAGAGTTAGTAAGGAAACTTTCATCAGTATTAGAAAACACAATAACAGCGGACTTGAAAAATTTGATTTCTTGAAAAATTGTTTTAAAAAAATTTTATAAATTCCAACCGACAGTAACATTAACTGATCAATCAATGAATATCAAATGTTTCCTGTATGGAAATGACTAATATTTACCATGTCTCTTCTCAAAGTTAAAAGTTTTCTCCTCCCTCCCCCAATTTCCTTTTACTTTTTCTTTTTTTGTGGTGAACACTTTTAAAATACAACTTTATGTGAAGAAAAAAATGTAATAACCTTTTTTGTAAAATCCTCAGTATTAAATGTTTTTAAAATATTTCATGCACATCACAAAACCAAACAGGGGCAGGTTAAAAATTACATTACTGTAATTCTCCAAACGAGAAGAGCCTGCTTGCCTACCGAGAAAATTAGCATTCAGAAATCCTGGTCTTTATGTAAACACCAACATCTGGCAGGAAATACTTAATCATGAAATTAGCTGATATTTAATAATTTAGCTTTGTCTGGCACAAAGCCACAAATGTAGGGCACCCAGTGAGGATCTTACTGCAATAGTAATGTTCCACAAGACTAGGTGGTTAATGATTGTTCTACAGTATGGCCCCCTTTTCATATTCTTAATCTAACCATGTGGATCAAAAATTAAAATGAGCTTTTGAAAAAGCAAGTTCTGCTATTCCAACCTATATGATATTTACCAAATTCATTTTTCTTTGTGGTTTAGAATTTTGTTTGTAAATAGATGTCCGTGTCTTCCAGTATTTTTAAAGAAAAATTTAAATTTCATCTGCGTTTATTTTATATTTTTCTCTCTTATCAGAAACAAAGAAATGCTTTTTCCATATATTGTTATATAAAAATTTTCATAATGAAAATGTTTTAAAGTATTTTTCTTGAAAAAAATAAACAAATCTTTAATCCAAGATTCTCATCTTTATTCCATATTGTTGCCTAGCAAAAATATTGAAATCATCGTTTTTTGGGGGGTTTTTTGTGAGAAATCTGTTTTTTTGTTTGTTTTTTTTTTTTTTAACAAATTTAAAAGATAAAAGTGTCTAATTCTGGTGATTTAGGTCATGTTTTTTTTTGGGGGGAGTAACAATAATTCCAAAGAAATTATCAAGACATTTATTCATAAAAAATATAAATTCTGTAATAGAAAACAGTCTAAATAAATACTATTCCTTCCAATGAAATTTCAAAACAAAGGAAATTTTACCGCAACTGTTGACAGATAACACCCCCAACCCCACATTTTACAAGATCTTTAAAAAAAAAAAAAAATCATCAACTAATCTTGAGTTATATGGGATAGAGTAATGTTTAAGTATCCAGTAGACTACCAGCACATGACTCCTGTCATATTAAATGTAAATGCGGGGATGAAATGATTAAAAAAAAAAAATCCAAATGTATTAATAAACATGTTGGTTTATCTTTTTCTTTTTCATAAAATTGGAAGAGGTGTTCAGTAATAGAGCATCAGAAATTATTGTTGTAGTTGTTAATATTTCAGTGTTTACATCCTCATCAAAACATGATAATTCCACTAAGACACAAGGGAAAGATGACGAAATGACTTCAGTGAGGAGAAAGGACAATAAACAACAGGATTCAGGAAGATAGAAGATGGTGTTTGATGTTGAATTCAAATTTTTGAAGATCGTAAATAGCAGGGAAGCAAGAAACTGGAAGAGAGTTCTACAGGCAAGAAAAAAACTTAGTATAGAACTTATGGTAACATTGAGCTATTTCAGCAGTAAAACGAGACCTAGTTGCCAATCTAGTAGTATGCTTAAATTCATGAGGTCAAAGTACCAAAGAGGAGAACTCATTAGACAACTGTCATGAAAATATTTATAGAAAAGATAGCGAGAAGCCATGTCACAGCAGTGGGAAAGTGACTTAAGATGTCAGGACTGAGAACATTACAGACCCTTTTTGGATTATTGACTTATTTGAGGTTTTAAAATAGTCCTCTTTAATACTTTGTTTAAATGTAAGTTATATTTTAACCTTTATTTGTCAAGCCTTTAAATATAACATGTGCCTTAGTAAATTAACCTTGTATTTGTACAAGAAAACAGGGTACTCTTCCCATATAAGGTTTATTACCTATATGTAAGGATAACTTGGTAAGCCCATGCATGGCCTGAAACAGCTAAATTTTGATTTGAAATTTTCACTGTATAATGTTTGGTTTATATGATTAATATTTACCACTGGTGCAATAACAAGGATGAATATATTTTCAAAAATGAATATTTGTGTAAAATAAAAGCTTTTTTTTTTTTTTCATTTTTGTCATAGGTTAGACTTGATTTACTTACATTACTAAAACAGCAGCTCTTGGTTATGAACAAAGCAATTACTGGAAATTTCAGGTGTTGAATATAAATTCCATTAAAAAAAAACTTGCTTAAGAATAACCAAATCTTTATCTTCTAACAAAATTGTTTAAAAT